TATTCTGAGTCGATTCTGCATGCTTTAAGTGTGTTTGGTGGCTCAGAACCATCAAAAAACGTTGAAATATAGTTCAAATTCAATAAAAATCGACAAAAATACAGTTTCTAGCTAAAATTTGATGGTTTCGTTGCACTTTCCGAGCCCGTAGGGTATCTGAGTGGCTTAAAAGTACAAGAAAACACTTCAAAAGTGACGTTTCTGAAGAATTTTAACAGTTTTCTTGTATCTACGAACGCCAGAATGCATAAAATTGACCTAAACGTCTCCTTTTCCTATTCTGAGTCGATTCTGCATGCTTTAAGTTTGTTTGGTGGCACAGAACCATCAAAAAACGTTGAAATATAGTTCAAATTCAATAAAAATCGACAAAAATACAGTTTCTAGCTAAAATTTGATGGTTTCGTTGCACTTTCCGAGCCCGTAGGGTATCTGAGTGGCTTAAAAGTACAAGAAAACACTTCAAAAGTGACATTTCTGAAGAATTTTAACAGTTTTCTTGTATCTACGAACGCCAGAATGCATAAAATTGACCTAAACGTCTCCTTTTCCTATTCTGAGTCGATTCTGCATGCTTTAAGTGTGTTTGGTGGCTCAGAACCATCAAAAAACGTTGAAATATAGTTCAAATTCAATAAAAATCGACAAAAATACAGTTTCTAGCTAAAATTTGATGGTTTCGTTGCACTTTCCGAGCCCGTAGGGTATCTGAGTGGCTTAAAATTACAAGAAAACACTTCAAAAGTGACGTTTCTGAAGAATTTTAACAGTTTTCTTGTATCTACGAACGCCAGAATGCATAAAATTGACCTAAACGTCTCCTTTTCTTATTCTGAGTCGATTCTGCATGCTTTAAGTGTGTTTGGTGGCTCAGAACCATAAAAAAACGTTGAAATATTGTTCAAATTCAATAAAAATCGACAAAAATACAGTTTCTAGCTAAAATTTGATGGTTTCGTTGCACTTTCCGAGCCCGTAGGGTATCTGAGTGGCTTAAAATTACAAGAAAACACTTCAAAAGTGACGTTTCTGAAGAATTTTAACAGTTTTCTTGTATCTACGAACGCCAGAATGCGTAAAATTGACCTAAACGTCTCCTTTTCTTATTCTGAGTCGATTCTGCATGCTTTAAGTGTGTTTGGTGGCTCAGAACCATAAAAAAACGTTGAAATATAGTTCAAATTCAATAAAAATCGACAAAAATACAGTTTCTAGCTAAAATTTGATGGTTTCGTTGCACTTTCCGAGCCCGTAGGGTATCTGAGTGGCTTAAAAGTACAAGAAAACACTTCAAAAGTGACGTTTCTGAAGAATTTTAACAGTTTTCTTGTATCTACGAACGCCAGAATGCATAAAATTGACCTAAACGTCTCCTTTTCCTATTCTGAGTCGATTCTGCATGCTTTAAGTGTGTTTGGTGGCTCAGAACCATCAAAAAACGTTGAAATATAGTTCAAATTCAATAAAAATCGACAAAAATACAGTTTCTAGCTAAAATTTGATGGTTTCGTTGCACTTTCCGAGCCCGTAGGGTATCTGAGTGGCTTAAAAGTACAAGAAAACACTTCAAAAGTGACGTTTCTGAAGAATTTTAACAGTTTTCTTGTATCTACGAACGCCAGAATGCATAAAATTGATCTAAACGTCTCCTTTTCCTATTCTGAGTCGATTCCGCATGCTTTAAGTGTGTTTGGTGGCTCAGAACCATCAAAAAACGTTGAAATATAGTTCAAATTCAATAAAAATCGACAAAAATACAGTTTCTAGCTAAAATTTGATGGTTTCGTTGCACTTTCCGAGCCCGTAGGGTATCTGAGTGGCTTAAAAGTACAAGAAAACACTTCAAAAGTGACGTTTCTGAAGAATTTTAACAGTTTTCTTGTATCTACGAACGCCAGAATGCATAAAATTGACCTAAACGTCTCCTTTTCCTATTCTGAGTCGATTCTGCATGCTTTAAGTGTGTTTGGTGGCTCAGAACCATCAAAAAACGTTGAAATATAGTTCAAATTCAATAAAAATCGACAAAAATACAGTTTCTAGCTAAAATTTGATGGTTTCGTTGCACTTTCCGAGCCCGTAGGGTATCTGAGTGGCTTAAAAGTACAAGAAAACACTTCAAAAGTGACGTTTCTGAAGAATTTTAACAGTTTTTTTGTATCTACGAACGCCAGAATGCATAAAATTGACCTAAACCTCTCCTTTTCCTATTCTGAGTCGATTCTGCATGCTTTAAGTGTGTTTGGTTGCTCAGAACCATCAAAAAACGCTGAAATATAGTTCAAATTCAATAAAAATCGACAAAAATACAGTTTCTAGCTAAAATTTGATGGTTTCGTTGCACTTTCCGAGCCCGTAGGGTATCTGAGTGGCTTAAAAGTACAAGAAAACACTTCAAAAGTGACGTTTCTGAAGAATTTTAACAGTTTTCTTGTATCTACGAACGCCAGAATGCATAAAATTGACCTAAACGTCTCCTTTTCCTATTCTGAGTCGATTCTGCATGCTTTAAGTGTGTTTGGTGGCTCAGAACCATCAAAAAACGTTGAAATATAGTTCAAATTCAATAAAAATCGACAAAAATACAGTTTCTAGCTAAAATTTGATGTTTTCGTTGCACTTTCCGAGCCCGTTGGGTATCTGAGTGGCTTAAAAGTACAAGAAAACACTTCAAAAGTGACGTTTCTGAAGAATTTTAACAGTTTTCTTGTATCTACGAACGCCAGAATGCATAAAATTGACCTAAACGTCTCCTTTTCCTATTCTGAGTCGATTCTGCATGCTTCAAGTGTGTTTGGTGGCTCAGAACCATCAAAAAACGTTGAAATATAGTTCAAATTCAATAAAAATCGACAAAAATACAGTTTCTAGCCAAAATTTGATGGTTTCGTTGCACTTTCCGAGCCCGTAGGGTATCTGAGTGGCTTAAAAGTACAAGAAAACACTTCAAAAGTGACGTTTCTGAAGAATTTTAACAGTTTTCTTGTATCTACGAACGCCAGAATGCATAAAATTGACCTAAACGTCTCCTTTTTTTATTCTGAGTCGATTCTGCATGCTTTAAGTGTGTTTGGTGGCTCAGAACCATCAAAAAACGTTGAAATATAGTTCAAATTCAATAAAAATCGACAAAAATACAGTTTCTAGCTAAAATTTGATGGTTTCGTTGCACTTTCCGAGCCCGTAGGGTATCTGAGTGGCTTAAAAGTACAAGAAAACACTTCAAAAGTGACGTTTCTGAAGAATTTTAACAGTTTTCTTGTATCTACGAACGCCAGAATGCATAAAATTGACCTAAACGTCTCCTTTTCCTATTCTGAGTCGATTCTGCATGCTTTAAGTTTGTTTGGTGGCACAGAACCATCAAAAAACGTTGAAATATAGTTCAAATTCAATAAAAATCGACAAAAATACAGTTTCTAGCTAAAATTTGATGGTTTCGTTGCACTTTCCGAGCCCGTAGGGTATCTGAGTGGCTTAAAAGTACAAGAAAACACTTCAAAAGTGACATTTCTGAAGAATTTTAACAGTTTTCTTGTATCTACGAACGCCAGAATGCATAAAATTGACCTAAACGTCTCCTTTTCCTATTCTGAGTCGATTCTGCATGCTTTAAGTGTGTTTGGTGGCTCAGAACCATCAAAAAACGTTGAAATATAGTTCAAATTCAATAAAAATCGACAAAAATACAGTTTCTAGCTAAAATTTGATGGTTTCGTTGCACTTTCCGAGCCCGTAGGGTATCTGAGTGGCTTAAAAGTACAAGAAAACACTTCAAAAGTGACGTTTCTGAAGAATTTTAACAGTTTTCTTGTATCTACGAACGCCAGAATGCATAAATTTGACCTAAACGTCTCCTTTTATTATTATTATTATTATTATTATTATTGAATAGCATGCTCAAACAGAGTCAAGCTCCAATTACTGAGCATGCAACTTAGAATACACCTAGTAATTCAAACTTCAATTTATTATTTACTCAGAAAATTCACTCTTATTTAATTCTCTGATCGTACAGTGAAATAAATCAAGTTCATTTTGAACATGGTTACCTAATTCGCACATTGTATACAGTGGGGAGTATTTCAACACGTCTGTTCTGGAAACATAAACATAGAATAAATTTTTGCACCTAGTGTGATATGGTCTTGCACTGATATGAAAATTTAATTGTGCGAGTACTCTCGGACAGTCAAATATGGAGTTTATTAATTTGTGCAAAAATATCACTCGAGCTCTTTTATTCCGATCAGTCAGACTCTGTGCTGAGAACCTTTCCAATAATCTCGTATGGGAGTATCCTTGAACTGGATAGACGCCGTCATTCCGATAACAAAGGTATTTAAAAAATCTTCTCACCACTCGCTCCAGATTCTGACGATAATTTGAATAATGCGGAAACCATACCACAGAAGCATACTCTAGCTGACTTCTTACCAAGGAGTTAAAAATCCGCAGTAATGTCGAATTATTCTTGAAATCTTTAGAATTGCGTACTATATATCCATAGGTCTTTAAGGATTTGCTAACAGTTGTCTCAATATGCCTTGAGAATAACAATTTTTTATCAAATATTACTCCTAAGTCACTCACGATTTCTGGCCTACTCAATAATACTTCCCCTATCTTATAATTGAACAATATTTCATTCTTTTTCAGTCCGAAAGTCATTGTCACACACTTTTTTCTATTAATAGGCATCTTGTTTGCCTGACACCAATTGACAGTTGCTTCAAGATTTTTTTGTAAATTTTCACAGTCCTCCACGCTGTGTATTTTGGAATATATTTTGAGGTCATCAGCATATAAGGAACATTGCACATTCAGACCATTGACAATGTCATTAATGAAAACGTTAAAAAGCAACGGCCCAAGAACTGAACCTTGCGGTACTCCCGAAACTGCCTCAAATTCTTCAGATATATATCCGTGGACAAGGACGAAACATTTACGTTCAGATAAATAGGAAGAGAAAAATTTTAACAATTTAGGTGTACAACCAATGACGTCAAGCTTAGACAAGAGTATTCTGTGATCCAGTCTATCAAAAGCTTTTGAACAGTCTAGATAGATCACATCAGTTTGACAATTAGAATCAGTAGCGCTAGAGATAAACTGCGTAATCTCACACAAATTAGTTACCGTCGACCTACCAGGTACAAAACCATGTTGCACTTCCGTTAAGGAATTCTTAAGTTGGAATATCATTTGTTTGTAGATAATAAATTCGAACACCTTAGCGAAGTTATTCATCAATGCCACTGGACGATAATTTTCAACTATGTTTTTGTCACCGCTTTTGAAAATAGGAACAATTTTGGATTTTTTCCACTCATCAGGGAAAGTCGCACTTTTCAGGCATAAATTAATTAAAAACGTAAGCGGAGCAACTAGAACAGAGGCACATTCTCTAATTATTATGGACGGAATTTTGTCAGGACCAGCCGTAAATTTGGACTTGAGTTTATTAATCGCCTCGAAGACCTCTTGCTCAGAAACAGGAAATAATGACACATCGGGCCTTACAGAAATATACTCCTGTGTGGATACTTTGTCTGAGGAAAGGTTATACGCTGCTCTGAAAACGTTGGCAAATGCTTCCACGATATTTGTAGGACCTGATATATTCATATCATTAACGATCATATTAAGGGGTATATCAGTACCGCTTTTCTTAATCTTAACAAACTGCCAAAATTTTTTTGGATCATTGGAAATCTGCTCTTCAACCATGGCAATATAGTCTTTGTAAAGAGTTTTTACTTTCAGTTTAATGCGCCTACGCAATATCCTAAATTCCTCATAATCCTTGTTGTTACCATCTCGTTTGTATGCTTTCCAAAATTTTGCTTTCATTTTTATTTCTTTTATTATCTCTACAGAAAACCAAGGAGGGTACTTATGTTTACGAGGTTTATTTGTTGGCACCATCATAGTAAATATTTCATAAAGATTCCCATAAAACTCCTGGCAGGCTAAGTTTGCATTTGTGATATTGTAGAGTGTGGACCAATCAATGTTAGAGATGCCTTCAGTGAGTAAACCAATATTAACATTACGAAAATTGTAACTATCTGTCGGGACTACACCTTTTATATAACTCTGACGTCCAGCGATGTTATTAACATTTATCAACAGAGTCGGATGATACTGATCTTCGGGTACAAGATACTCATCAGATCTTGTAACAGTACAGGACATATTAGATGCAACAAGATCCAGTAGCCGATTATGAGCATTTAAAATATTATTGAGTTGAGATAGTTCAAGTGTTTCCAAAAGGTGAAGTAGTGGAACAGTATTTCCTAAAGAATTACCTGTTTCTAAAGAATTACGGTATTCAGGGACATTGAAATCTCCTACTAAAATGACCTTAGAACGGAATATAAATTCTAAAGAGAAAATAGCATCCACAAAATCGTAAAAGGTACCTGAGGCAGTACCTGGAGGTATATACAAAACAAATATGTAGATGGGAATATTAAAATTAGAAAGTTTGACAGCAATAATATCTATCTCTGTCAACGAAACAAACAAAGGACCTTTCAAATTAATTAACGTAGCCGACAACTTTTCCTATTCTGAGTCGATTCTGCATGCTTTAAGTGTGTTTGGTTGCTCAGAACCATCAAAAAACGCTGAAATATAGTTCAAATTCAATAAAAATCGACAAAAATACAGTTTCTAGCTAAAATTTGATGGTTTCGTTGCACTTTCCGAGCCCGTAGGGTATCTGAGTGGCTTAAAAGTACAAGAAAACACTTCAAAAGTGACGTTTCTAAAGAATTTTAACAGTTTTCTTGTATCTACGAACGCCAGAATGCATAAAATTGACCTAAACGTCTCCTTTTCCTATTCTGAGTCGATTCTGCATGCTTTAAGTGTGTTTGGTGGCTCAGAACCATCAAAAAACGTTGAAATATAGTTCAAATTCAATAAAAATCGACAAAAATACAGTTTCTAGCTAAAATTTGATGGTTTCGTTGCACTTTCCGAGCCCGTTGGGTATCTGAGTGGCTTAAAAGTACAAGAAAACACTTCAAAAGTGACGTTTCTGAAGAATTTTAACAGTTTTCTTGTATCTACGAACGCCAGAATGCATAAAATTGACCTAAACGTCTCCTTTTCCTATTCTGAGTCGATTCTGCATGCTTCAAGTGTGTTTGGTGGCTCAGAACCATCAAAAAACGTTGAAATATAGTTCAAATTCAATAAAAATTGACAAAAATACAGTTTCTAGCTAAAATTTGATGGTTTCGTTGCACTTTCCGAGCCCGTAGGGTATCTGAGTGGCTTAAAAGTACAAGAAAACACTTCAAAAGTGACGTTTCTGAAGAATTTTAACAGTTTTCTTGTATCTACGAACGCCAGAATGCATAAAATTGACCTAAACGTCTCCTTTTTTTATTCTGAGTCGATTCTGCATGCTTTAAGTGTGTTTGGTGGCTCAGAACCATCAAAAAACGTTGAAATATAGTTCAAATTCAATAAAAATCGACAAAAATACAGTTTCTAGCTAAAATTTGATGGTTTCGTTGCACTTTCCGAGCCCGTAGGGTATCTGAGTGGCTTAAAAGTACAAGAAAACACTTCAAAAGTGACGTTTCTGAAGAATTTTAACAGTTTTCTTGTATCTACGAACGCCAGAATGCATAAAATTGACCTAAACGTCTCCTTTTCCTATTCTGAGTCGATTCTGCATGCTTTAAGTTTGTTTGGTGGCACAGAACCATCAAAAAACGTTGAAATATAGTTCAAATTCAATAAAAATCGACAAAAATACAGTTTCTAGCTAAAATTTGATGGTTTCGTTGCACTTTCCGAGCCCGTAGGGTATCTGAGTGGCTTAAAAGTACAAGAAAACACTTCAAAAGTGACATTTCTGAAGAATTTTAACAGTTTTCTTGTATCTACGAACGCCAGAATGCATAAAATTGACCTAAACGTCTCCTTTTCCTATTCTGAGTCGATTCTGCATGCTTTAAGTGTGTTTGGTGGCTCAGAACCATCAAAAAACGTTGAAATATAGTTCAAATTCAATAAAAATCGACAAAAATACAGTTTCTAGCTAAAATTTGATGGTTTCGTTGCACTTTCCGAGCCCATAGGGTATCTGAGTGGCTTAAAAGTACAAGAAAACACTTCAAAAGTGACGTTTCTGAAGAATTTTAACAGTTTTCTTGTATCTACGAACGCCAGAATGCATAAATTTGACCTAAACGTCTCCTTTTCCTATTCTGAGTCGATTCTGCATGCTTTAAGTGTGTTTGTTGGCTCAGAACCATCAAAAAACGTTGAAATATAGTTCAAATTCAATAAAAATCGACAAAAATACAGTTTCTAGCTAAAATTTGATGGTTTCGTTGCACTTTCCGAGCCCGTAGGGTATCTGAGTGGCTTAAAATTACAAGAAAACACTTCAAAAGTGACGTTTCTGAAGAATTTTAACAGTTTTCTTGTATCTACGAACGCCAGAATGCATAAAGTTGACCTAAACGTCTCCTTTTCTTATTCTGAGTCGATTCTGCATGCTTTAAGTGTGTTTGGTGGCTCAGAACCATAAAAAAACGTTGAAATATAGTTCAAATTCAATAAAAATCGACAAAAATACAGTTTCTAGCTAAAATTTGATGGTTTCGTTGCACTTTCCGAGCCCGTAGGGTATCTGAGTGGCTTAAAAGTACAAGAAAACACTTCAAAAGAGACGTTTCTGAAGAATTTTAACAGTTTTCTTGTATCTACGAACGCCAGAATGCATAAAATTGACCTAAACGTCTCCTTTTCCTATTCTGAGTCGATTCTGCATGCTTTAAGTGTGTTTGGTGGCTCAGAACCATCAAAAAACGTTGAAATATAGTTCAAATTCAATAAAAATCGACAAAAATACAGTTTCTAGCTAAAATTTGATCGTTTCGTTGCACTTTCCGAGCCCGTAGGGTATCTGAGTGGCTCAAAAGTACAAGAAAACACTTCAAAAGTGACGTTTCTGAAGAATTTTAACAGTTTTCTTGTATCTACGAACGCCAGAATGCATAAAATTGACCTAAACGTCTCCTTTTCCTATTCTGAGTCGATTCTGCATGCTTCAAGTGTGTTTGGTGGCTCAGAACCATCAAAAAACGTTGAAATATAGTTCAAATTCAATAAAAATTGACAAAAATACAGTTTCTAGCTAAAATTTGATGGTTTCGTTGCACTTTCCGAGCCCGTAGGGTATCTGAGTGGCTTAAAAGTACAAGAAAACACTTCAAAAGTGACGTTTCTGAAGAATTTTAACAGTTTTCTTGTATCTACGAACGCCAGAATGCATAAAATTGACCTAAACGTCTCCTTTTTTTATTCTGAGTCGATTCTGCATGCTTTAAGTGTGTTTGGTGGCTCAGAACCATCAAAAAACGTTGAAATATAGTTCAAATTCAATAAAAATCGACAAAAATGCAGATTCTAGCTAAAATTTGATGGTTTCGTTGCACTTTCCGAGCCCGTAGGGTATCTGAGTGGCTTAAAAGTACAAGAAAACACTTCAAAAGAGACGTTTCTGAAGAATTTTAACAGTTTTCTTGTATCTACGAACGCCAGAATGCATAAAATTGACCTAAACGTCTCCTTTTCCTATTCTGAGTCGATTCTGCATGCTTTAAGTGTGTTTGGTGGCTCAGAACCATCAAAAAACGTTGAAATATAGTTCAAATTCAATAAAAATCGACAAAAATACAGTTTCTAGCTAAAATTTGATGGTTTCGTTGCACTTTCCGAGCCCGTTGGGTATCTGAGTGGCTTAAAAGTACAAGAAAACACTTCAAAATTGACGTTTCTGAAGAATTTTAACAGTTTTCTTGTATCTACGAACGCCAGAATGCATAAACTTGACCTAAACGTCTCCTTTTCTTATTCTGAGTCGATTCTTCATGCTTTAAGTGTGTTTGGTGGCTCAGAACCATCAAAAAACGTTGAAATATAGTTCAAATTCAATAAAAATCGACAAAAATACAGTTTCTAGCTAAAATTTGATGGTTTCGTTGCACTTTCCGAGCCCGTAGGGTATCTGAGTGGCTTAAAAGTACAAGAAAACACTTCAAAAATGACGTTTCTGAAGAATTTTAAGAGTTTTCTTGTATCTACGAACGCCAGAATGCATAAAATTTACCTAAACGTCTCCTTTTTCTATTCTGAGTCGATTCTGCATGCTTTAAGTGTGTTTGGTGGCTCAGAACCATCAAAAAACGTTGAAATATAGTTCAAATTCAATAAAAATCGACAAAAATACAGTTTCTAGCTAAAATTTGATGGTTTCGTTGCACTTTCCGAGCCCGTAGTGTATCTGAGTGGCTTAAAAGTACAAGAAAACACTTCAAAAGTGACGTTTCTGAAGAATTTTAACAGTTTTCTTGTATCTACGAACGCCAGAATGCATAAAATTGACCTAAACGTCTCCTTTTCCTATTCTGAGTCGATTCTGCATGCTTTAAGTGTGTTTGATGGCTCAGAACCATCAAAAAACGTTGAAATATTGTTCAAATTTAATAAAAATCGACAAAAATACAGTTTCTAGCTAAAATTTGATGGTTTCGTTGCACTTTCCGAGCCCGTAGGGTATCTGAGTGGCTTAAAAGTACAAGAAAACACTTCAAAAGTGACGTTTCTGAAGAATTTTAACAGTTTTCTTGTATCTACGAACGCCAGAATGCATAAAATTGACCTAAACGTCTCCTTTTCCTATTCTGAGTCGATTCTGCATGCTTTAAGTGTGTTTGGTGGCTCAGAACCATCAAAACACGTTGAAATATAGTTCAAATTCAATAAAAATCGACAAAAATACAGATTCTAGCTAAAATTTGATGGTTTCGTTGCACTTTCCGAGCCCGTAGGGTATCTGAGTGGCTTAAAAGTACAAGAAAACACTTCAAAAGAGACGTTTCTGAAGAATTTTAACAGTTTTCTTGTATCTACGAACGCCAGAATGCATAAAATTGACCTAAACGTCTCCTTTTCCTATTCTGAGTCGATTCTGCATGCTTTAAGTGTGTTTGTTGGCTCAGAACCATCAAAAAACGTTGAAATATAGTTCAAATTCAATAAAAATCGACAAAAATACAGTTTCTAGCTAAAATTTGATGGTTTCGTTGCACTTTCCGAGCCCGTAGGGTATCTGAGTGGCTTAAAATTACAAGAAAACACTTCAAAAGTGACGTTTCTGAAGA